CCCCCCCCCCCCCCCCCCACACACACACACACACTTACATCTGTCCCAATGAGGTCCTCTTTGTTCTCGACAATCCCCCATGGTGCAATGCCAATAGCCCAGACTTTCCCTCTGGACTTAGACGAATGGTCTTTGAGAGCATCTCCAACATGGCGGATAACTCCTAAAACACCACAAAGGGAGACAGTGTCAGAGAAATATAATCCAGTTTGTACTAGAAATCCATGATAATCTGACATCCATCAATATACCAGGGGGAAATGTGCCATCTCAACCAGGCTTTCTCTACTCTACCAAGGCATGAGTACACAATCATATACAACCCAATTTCTAAGAGGCTGAGACATTTTCTAATATGCAAATATAAGCAGAATGCAATGATTTGCAAATCTCACAAAGCCATATTTTATTCACAATGAAACGTAGAACAACATGTCAAATATTTAAACTAAGAATGGTAGCATTTTCAGAAAATAAGGTGACTTAAAACTTTTGGTATTGTAAAAAATGGAATAGGGACAACAATATGAATACGAAAGAAAATGCATTTTGTAACCAATTTTGTTATTGGTAACAGGTCATTAAAAGGACTGGGTTTTAAATTAATATTTTAAGAGAGGTTCAATCTCTAAGAAGTAATGATGGGAAGGAGGTTTGCCAGACTGTAAATGGACTGCACTTATATAGTGCCTTTCTATCTTATTTCAAGATACTCAAAGTGCTTTACATTACAATCTGTGCCTCATTTACCCATTCATACAGCACTCTACTAGATCTCTACAAAGATAATTGAACAAATCATTCTAAAGAGACTAATCAGAGCTTTATCACATTCAAACACTGATGGGACACACATCGGAGGCTATGAGGGGTTCAGTGTCTTGCCCAGGGAGACTTCGGCATGTGACTGCTGGTGGATTTGAACCCCCAACTCTCGCATTGGAGGACGACTGCTCTAACCACTCAGCCACAGCCGCCCTCTGAAAAACTCAATATCTCTATGTTTTAAGTAAGGTCCTAATACAATAATCAGCCAAGTTTTGTGTCCTAGGCTGTGACCAATGACAAGCCCAGCAGACATCTGATGTCACGTGCTGCAGCCACACAGGCCAACACAATGAGCTCCAACATGTCCCAAAATTAGTCCCTCTCCAGGTCCAAATTTTTCTTTATTTTTTTTGTTTACAAACTCCTAAACTAGATCCAGATCTGTTAAACTTATGAGTCTTGCCATTGGGCATAGTGATGTGTAGTGTAGTCAGGTACCAGAGGCAGAATTTAGCCTTAGTACAGATACAGACCTTCTCCTTCACGAGGTTTTTTGTATGTATAGACATGCTCCAGCATGCTGTAGAATAGTATTCCTTGTCTGAAAAAGTGTAACTCTAATGACCATCAGTCATGGCAGCTCTCCCTCCTTTGGCTTAGCATATAGCATCTCTATCCAAGCCAGGTTTCTGCATTAAACTGTATTTAAAAAGAGTGAATCAATTTCCAAATAATGTTCTCACTGGAAACTAAGAGTTCAAAGTGCCAATCACACGTGCCAGTTAAAGCTCCGTCATGTAAAGAAGTCATATGTGAACACAATCCAGAAATGTTGCCATCGTCTTTGGATCAAAGTTAATTTAAAATGGACTGAGGCAAAGTAGAGAACTGTTCTTTGGTCAGACAGATCAAAATTTACAAGTTCATTTTGGAAACCACAGATGTTCCCTCCTTTGAACTAAAGAGGAGGAAGACCATCCAGTCTGTTATCAGCACAGAGTTAAAAAGACTGCTTCACTGATGAAATAGGGGTATATCTGGTTCTTTGGCATGAACCATCAGTGCATCTATATAAAGGTATTAAGACAAGATACACTACCATTTGGACAATGTCTTTTTCAGGAAAGGTCTTGCATTCCATAAGACAGCAGGGCCAAGATGGTGTAGAGGCAGGGCAGCTGACTCGGGACCCAAAAGTCCCAGGTTCGATCCCCAGTCATTGCACATCTCTTAGTGTCTCTGAGCAGGACACCCTTTCCCCAAAAGCTCCCCAGGCACCCTCAATAGCTGCCCACTGCACCATCTGGTGGCGGATGGGTTAAATGCAAAGATCCAATTTCATCATTGTATGGGAACATACAATGATGACAATACATAACTTATTATTATTATTATTATTATAACAGTGTTAAACCTCATCCTGCATCCATTACAACAGCATGGCTTCACAATAGAAGAGTCCTGGTGCCGAACTGACCTGCCTGCAGTTAAGAACTTTCAACATTGGGAAACATCTGATGCATCATGCAACGAAAAAATAACACTAAAAAATCTCATAAGGAAGACTCAGAACTGTTAGATGCCTGGAGCCCTTGTTTCTGTGAAAATGTTCATAGAGGATAGAAAGGAGCAGCAGCCACCACCACCTTAAAATTGTCAGTAAGTGATTATACAGTATTATCCATCCACCCATCTATCCATTCATTATATTTACCCATTTCTTTCTTTTTGGGTCGTAGGGGGTCACTGGTGTCCATATCTAGCTGTCAGTGTGCGAGAGACAGGGGACACCCTGGACAGGCCTCCAGTCCATCACAAGGACACATGGAGACAAATGAGACCAACAACCATTCATTCTATCACCTAGAGACAGTTTAGAGTTACCAATCAGTCTAACATGCATGTTTTTGGTCTGTGGGAGGAAACCGGAGTGCCTGGAGAAAACCCACGCAGCATGGAGAGAACATGCAAACTCCACCCAGAAGGTCAGTGGCTGTGATTTGATCCGGCGACCTTCTCGCTGAGAGGTGGCAGCTCTACCAACTGAGCCACTGTGCCTCCTAATAATGTATTATTAGCTGTTAAATCTGTATATATGAGTGAATATTATTTTAGTTAATCTTACTTGGTTGCATGATGAACTTGCTGTTTCTTTTTGACAGTGTGACTTCCCTTTTTTAATCCTTGTATGATGCTGCTGGAATTTTAATTTCTCTGAAGAAATCTTCCTGAGGGATCCATAAAGATCTAATCTAATCTAATCTAATCTAATCTAATCTAATCTAATCTGATCTGATCTGATCTAATCTAATAAGAATGGGAGAACATTCCCTTCACAAACTCCCCCGACTGGTCTCCTCATCTCCCACTGTTTTCAGACTGTTAGTAAAAGGGGAGTTTTCACAGAGGAAACGGACGAGACATCTGTTTGAGACAGCTTGTTGCTATCAAAATCCAAAATATCGTGTTTTCCCTAAAATTAGTACATTTCTTAGTTTAAACAAGTGATATATTTACAATATTATTTTGTGAATAAAATAGGAGAAATGCAAATAGTTGCATTCTTTTTTTATATACAGTACGGTGCATTTAATAAAAGATCCCAACAATTTTTGAATTGGAGTTAGAGATCAAATTATTTTTTTATTTTTAGCTTTATGGCCAAAGTTTCATTTTGATGGCCCAGGAAAACCTCATGAAAAACAGCACAGCCTACTCATGTCCAAATACAGACAGCTCACACAATTACACACAACAAGACTGAGTCAAGATGTATGAAGTGCAACATGCAGAACAAATTAAAGACATGTCTTGAGAAGTCCTGCAATATGTGTGTGTGTGTGTGCGTGCGTGCGCGTGTAGGTGTGTGTGTGGCGTTCAGAGAAAGAGATGAACCGAAGTGCAGACAGACACAGGGAACTCAGGGATAAAATAAAAATAACTATTCATTTTGAGTGAAAGGACAAAAGCAAAAGTTGTTGTGGCAGCAAACACAACAATTAAGGAGCATGGAGGAACTAAACATGAAAGCTGGGAAGCACAATCCACAAACAAGGAGGAAACAGAGACACTGAATTTAAAGAGACTAATGAGACACGATGGTGAACACCTGCGGTGATTGGGATTGGGAACAAGTGACTCAGGAGCTGACAATAGGGGATAAATACTGGGGAAGGCAAACAGATGATACAAGAAAACAAAGATCTCAAGACACAAACAGATTCTCACAGTGTGTGAACAAATTCAATTCAGTTTATGTATATAGCACCAAGTCACAACAGAATTCATCTCAGGGCACTGAACAAAAACATTCAAATATAAAAGTAACAATTTAATATTATTTATCTATTAATTTAATTTATTTATTTATTTAACTTATTTTGCTTTCTTCAGCTTGTCATATTTATTTTGTGATTGTGTAGTGAACTAAGCCTCAGGTCAAATCTTGCCCTGAGGGCCTTCCTGGGACAAGAACTGTCATTTCATTGATTTGAGTCCAGAAACACAAAATTAAGTTAATCCAGAGATTTTCTAAGTGTGTCCTGCACTGATCAATTGAAAGAACACTCTCTTTTTATTATCATTACTATTTTACAAATGTCTTGATAATCAAAGTGTGTTTAGTTCAAACCATTTTAAATGTTGAAGTGAACTACTCATTTTAAATCAACTGTGAAACAGTATTAATGATTTTTAATCCTCATTCAAAGTAGAAATCAAGTTAAATGTTTGTTACAAGAGTAATTATGCATTTTGATTTTCTGTCTGAAATGAGGTTGTAAGTCGGTCCAAGGTCGGAGACAAACGCAAACAAGTTTGTTGGAACGAACTGTCATGTTTTTAAATCCTCTCTGACATAAATAGAGAAGCTGGCACCTGTTTCCTCCCAACTCGCCTAAACATTTCTCTTGTCTGTCTCAAAAACATTTTCTGTCTGTTCCAAAACATTTTTTCTGTTTTTCTGACTTCTAGTGACCTCTTACGTCACAAAAACACACCCCTGATTAGCTATTTCAGCCAATCAAGACTTCCCAAATGAACCGGAAACAGAACTCTTTAAATGTCGACACTTCCTAGTTCCAGCCAGCGCGGTGGGAGAGCAGTTCAGTTCGGAGAGCAGAACCGAACAGGAAAGGTGCTGGAGAGAACAGGAGGTTCCAGACATGATCCGAAGTTCTTCCGAGTCTTGTGGGAATTATGCAATCTTCCACATCTGAGTGGAACTCTGACGGACTCACAACTCATGTGAGCCCACCCGGGAGGTGAACGTGTGTCGAACGAAGTACCGTCACTACTCCGGACGTTTCCCAACCATCCTACGGAGACGCTGGAAATGGTAGCGTTAAATAGAACTCCGTACCAGCTGATTCATCTTCAGAGAGGTAACGAGTCGATTTCCTACTGAAGCGTACCGAGATGAAACTGGGTTCGAATGGAGAGTGCCGTTCTTATACAGACACATTTTCCTTCACACACATTTTCTCTCCACTTAACTCCTTCATTCCCCATCTTTAAACTCTTCTATCTTGCCAGTAATTAATCCAGATATTTTCAGAAATGTCTGTTGTAGAGCTTGAACAAGGATACCATGGCCGTATGGTTTCCTAGTTGTGAAGCTAATTAATTAAGCTGTTATTGTAATAAATTTTGCCAAATTAATGTAAATGTTTGATGTTAAACTTTGATTCTGTTAATAAATGACCGCATTCATTTGATGGGTCAAAGAAAATTAACGTCTCACTTCACATTTAATTATTCAATGCACGATATTATTCAGTCCAGAAAAATGAAAGAATCCGTTTAATTTATGAATATATCACAGATATATGTTCATCTACAATTGTAATGGCCTTTTCCATAGCTCCTCTTCAGCATGACTCGATTCAGTTCAGTATGCTTATGATCCTTTTTCCACTGTCACTTTTTTGTGAAACCAGCACCTTTTTTAGTCCCTTCTTCTCAAGGCTACCAAGCGAGCTGAGCCAGTACCAAAACATGACGTCAGAACACTGTCGGTCACTGATTGATCAGGGGGCGAAATCACTAGAGGAGTTTGAGAATTTTTCAAAACCCTCGATCCACCATTTGCAATTACCTGTGCTTGAACTCAAGGAGCAACTGCACCTATTTTTAAGCTTTTAAAAACAATAATGACGACACCGTGGTCTAATGCTGAAGTGCAGACGTTTTTTTTTGTGCTTTGTGGCCGATGACAAAATTCAGAGCGAGCTAGATAGAGCTCCACCGGTCTCCCCAGTCCTCTCCACTAGAGCCTTGGATACCCCTCTGGCCGTGCAGGGTTTCATCTCCCCGGCTCCGAGCTCTACCGGTCACCGCGGAAGATCCTCCGTGCTGCCGACTTGGGGCTTGGGCTCTGGGTTGGCCTCATATGCTCTGCATGCTCTGAGCTCTACTGGTCACCGCGGAGGATCATACGAGCTGCTGACTCGCAGAAGGACGTTGCCCGGGCCTCGGCCTCAAGTGATCATGAAGGCCAAACCCTGATCCTGGCAGACGGGCGAACCAGGACTGTCAGGATTTTCAGGCAAGACAGAAACAAACCCAGTAGTTGCAGGCAGAAACTCAGCAGGTAGAAAAAATAAATACTTTAATAATAAAAAATTAAAGAGCTGACGTGGCAGCATAAACTTACAACGGGAGATAATCAGGACAGGACCAAAACAGACTCATGACAGGACAAGGCAATACCTAACGATGACGTGACAACGAACAAGACTAACTGACAGACTATATACACAGACAATAATGGAAGTGATTACAAACAGCTGGCATGAGACAAGGGTGAAATTAATTGGATAAATGATGAGACACACAAGGGAGTACAGACAAAGAAGGCCCACAGGACCAGGCAGGTGGACTGGATGGGACTTAGAGCCTGGGTGGGTCTTGGAAACTGGATGAGGCATAGACCCAGGAGCGAAGACGTCAGGCAGACCAGGAATGAAGACCTCAGGCGAGCCATGGGCGATGACCTCAGGCGAGCCAGGAACTTCTGCGGTCAGGTCAGGATCTTATGTGGTCGGATCAAGATCTTCTGTGGTCGGGTCAGGAGCGAAGACCTCAAATGGACCAGGGGCGAAGACCTCAGACGGACTGGAGACAAAGACCTCAGGCGGACCAGGAATGAAGACCTCAGATGGACCAGGGGCGAAGACCTCAGATGGACCGGAGATGAAGACTTCAGACGGACGAGGAGCGAGGACCTCACACGGACCAGGAGCGAGGACTTCACACGGACTGGGAGCGAGGACCTCAGCAGACTGGTCGGTGGCATGGAGCTCAGCAGACGGGTCGTCGGTGGCTGCAGGTTCAGGTACCACTGCAGGTTCTGAATCTTCTGCTACTGTTTCTGGATTCTGAGCAAGTTCAGAGTCCTCTGCTGCAGACTCTGGGCTGGCTGCTGCAGGCTCTGGGCTGGCTGCTGCAGACTCTGGGCTGGCTGTTGCAGACTGAGTGTGGGCTGCAGGCTGAGTGCTGGCTGCATGCTGAGTGTAGGTTCCAGGCAGAGTGCGGGCTGCAGGCTGAGTGTAGGCTGCAGGCTGAGTGCTGGCTGCAGGCTGAGTGTGGGCTGCAGGCTGAGTGCTGGTTGCAGGCTGAGTGCTGGTTGCAGGCTGAGTGCTGGTTGCAGGCTGAGTGCTGGCTGCTGGCTGGGTGCAGGTTGTGGAGATACTGCAGATTGTGGAGGGACTGCAGATTGTGGAGGGACTGCTGGTTGTGGAGGGACTGCAGGTTGTGGAGGGACTACAAGTGCTGGGCTGGCTGTAGGTACTGGAGGAACTGCAGGTGCTGGACGGACAGAAGCTGATGCTGGGACAGGACTGACCAGGTTGTGGGCTGGCTGCAGGTTCTTGGGCCTCGACAGGTTCTGGGGCAGAGGCTGGATCTGGAACTATGGAGTGTGTTTTCATGGTCCTTATTTCAATCAACAGTTGATAATATGTAGGGATACGAGTGAGACCGGGTTGAGACAGTATCAGTTTCTCGGCGAGGGTGAGTACAAGGTCAAGGCAGTCTGGATTGTTTTTGGCTGAGGAGAGGAGATTTGTAACATCTGGTTTATTTGGGTGATGTCACTGGGTTCTAGAAGAGGTGGGTTGGTTCCAGTGGTAGGAGTGGCTCTACGCGGGGATAAGGTGTCGAGTTCTGCCCTCACCGGACACCTGGGAGGTGAGGCGGTGGGACCCATCCCCACGGAGACGCTGGGACTGGGTTCAGGAGGCTCAGTCTTACCAGACCAAGCAGGAGAGGCGCGGAGTGGCGGTGAGGTGCCGGAACTGCTTCCGGGAGACTCGGCTCCACCTAGCTGAGTCGGATCTGTCGGTGGTACCATAACGGGCACTGTGGATCGCTTCCGGGTCCGGTTTCTGCCACTTCGGTGGCGACAATGAGGATGAGGGGCAGGAATGGAACAGAGCTCGTCCTCCGGCTCTGCGTCCTCCCCCGGCGTCCATCGTGAGTAGCCGAGCGGTTCAGGAGACGACGCGGAAACAAGCCTGGAGGTCAGGTGATCTCCTCAGAGCTGGGATCTTCTCTTTTCCTTGAGGACCAGGAGGGGAGAAGGCAGGATCTCTACCTCTCGGCTGAAGTGTCCTCAAGTCTGGGCAGGTTCGTTATGAAACCCCGCTGCACCGGATTACAGGCTCCCCCATCTGTGGTTCGTGCTTTCAGGTGAGCGATTCTGAGGAGAACCCTGCCCACTGGGTTCTAGTGTGGTCGCGTCGTACTGTCAGGGTTTTCAGGCAGGACAGAAACGAACCCAGTAGTTGCAGGCAGGTACTCAGACTCAGCAGATAGAAAAAATAAATACTTTAATAATATTAATAATAATAAATTAAAGAGTTGACAGGGCAGCATAAACTTACAACGGGAGATAATCAGGTCGGGACCAAAATGGACTCAGGATAGGACAAGGCAATACCTAACGATGACGCGACAACGAACAAGACTAACCGACAGACTATATACACAGACAATAATGGACGTGATTACAAACAGCTGGCATGAGACAAGGGTGTAATTAATTGGATAAATGAAGAGACACACAAGGGAGTACAGACAAGGAAGGCCCACAGATGGCGCCATCCTTACATGGACGGGTCTGGGATGGAGGATGGAAACAATTTTTAAAAACATTTTATGTATAATTTTTGCATTTTTTTATTTTTTTTATTCAGTCAAGATTAAAAATAAATAAACAGTGCCGGCTTTATCATGAAATCCTGTTTTCACTTTAATGCTTATTAAATAATCTGTTAAAGTTAACTGGGCTAAAAATTCATAAAAAGACAATATTATTGTCTCTCAGTAATATTTCCCTCAAACATGTTTAAAGAAGAGAAACAGCCTTTAGTTCAACTTTACTCTAACCCACAGATTCAAATCACAAAACAAGAACTTTAAAGCAAAGCTAAAAATAAAAAATATATATCTGTGAACAAGAAACAAAACCAGTTATCTATTTTTTTCATTTACCTTTTATTTATACAGGTAGTTTCATTGAGTCACGAGAACTCATTTTCAAGAGAGACCTGTTTAGGGAGCAGATGGTGGGGGTTAAGGGCCTTGCTCAGGGGCCCAGAGTGGGGCGAAGGAGGGTGGATGCAGGTGTGGGTGTTTCACCTTTTCTACCAACATTTTGATGTTGACGGTACCGGGAGTTGAACCCGCAACTTTCCAATCACAGACCCATCTTCTCTAACCTCTGCACCACCACTCCCCTTTAGTTGAACAATAAAAGTACACAATGAGTGCAAATACATGAAATTATGAAGAAAGGTATACAATTTTAAATATAGATGGTTTTTGTAGAATCTGGTTCATCAGAGATTTAATGGAGAAATAAAGTTCATTAAAAGTTTATTAGCAGGATATACTGTATATGTATGTATATATATATATATATATATATATATATATATATACATATATATATATATATATATATATATATATATATATCGTTTAATTTGATCAATAATCTGTGTTCTTTTTAATTTAGCAGAAACTTCAAAATAAATTCTCCCCCTGTACTGAAACCTGGTTCAGCGTCTCACTGCCACCACCAGCTGGTGAGGCATGTGACGTCAATTTGAACCACGCCCACTAGAACCAGTACTGAAAGCATAATGGAAACACAACTTATACGGTACCGAGCCAAGTCGAGCTGTGCTGTACCGGTACTAAAGGTACCAGTGGAAAGAATGCATATAGCATAACCTGTCATGGTTTAAACATTTGCCTTAAATATGGGGAAAATTGAGTGTGCTACCTGTACTGACACCCCCTGTGAAGATCCAGGCTCCGGTGGTGACGGCAGCTTTGATCAGACCCTTACCGAAGACCTGCTTTAGTTTGGGAGGCAGGTCAAAGTTCTGCAGGCCTCCGTGGACAGAGATGAGCAGCGTCGGGAGCTCCAGCTGCCACTCCTTCACCATTAGATGGAGCAGGGTGTCTGGCTTGGAGTCATAGGAGACTCTGATATACTGCAAGAAAGGACATGGAGTGAGACATCCTCTACAAATGTCCTAAAAGAACAAGTCTCCACTCTGGTACCATGGCCTTGTTGACATGTCCTCCACCCTGGAACTCCAGGACTCCGTAGGCATCAGTAGGAGATGTCTGGGTGTGTTTGAGGGGGCTCCATCTCTCTACAGGTTGGACCTCCAGCTGAACCAGTGGGGCCCCTTCCTCTTTGACCCCTGGAGGGATTGCAGTATGCTGTGTCACCAGCTGTCCACAACTGCACCTGATGAACAGGAGCGGGGGTGGGGGGTTACCCAGTTAGAATCATTTTACTGAGAAATGAAACAGTCAGTGGAGGCTTCATAGTGTTGTGCTTCTTATCAGAAAAACAAAATGGCATTTTAAAATTTAACTCTTCCAAATAAAACAACTCAAGTAGTGGATTTAGTTTATGTCTTCATATAACTGCTGAGGAACCGAGGTGGACACTAATGTTTGTGTCCCTGTCTGCACGTGTCTGTCCGTTTGCAGAATATCTCATGAACGACAGATTTTAATGAAACCCAGAAAGTAAGAATTGAATGTACATCTACAACTGATTATTCTTTGGATTCATCTTGACCAGTTAAGTGATAAAACACAAAAATAACTTTAATTCAGGTCATTTTCACACCAGATAGTCTGGTAGACTCGGTTCGGTTCGGGACCAATATTCGTGACCTTTTGTTACATTTGAGCTGGTGCGTTTGCATTCACACTGCACTGTGCAGTCGAGTCAACCTGTTGAACCAACCTATTCCCCCGCTCGCCTGTGGGGGCGCTGCACCAAGAACTACTGAAAGAAACAACACAAAAACCTCTGAAGACACTTCTTCTTCTTCTTCTTCTGGAAATAAAAACAAAAACGAAGTGGCATCAAGTTTTAGCAGTTTTAGGAGTTATACTTTGTCATTTTTCAAAAATGGACTTAGCATGAACAGAAGATGAGACAGAGGACCATGGAGAATATTGTTTTTCCACACAGGGAAGCTGACTTTTCCATATAAGGTAAGAGAAATGCGTGTTTGTTTGTCCTGCGGAGCGGGGCCCGGTCTGATTACATTCACACTGTACTCGAACTGCGTTGGAGTTCGCTTCTACCGGACCGAGACCTAGGTTTTAGCCCGGTCCAGAGTTCGCCTTTTTGTTCCGTGACAGAGTTCGATGGCGCGTTCACACCTCCCTACATGAACCGGACTTTCTAGGAAAACGAGCTAGAGTTCGATTAAAGCGGACAAAACAGGTTGTTGACTAGCTGTGGCAGCCATCTTGGTTTCTCTGTAAAGTTAACAAGTTATAAAAGTACCATAAATGATTTTCTTCTGAAAGTTTCATTAAAGTCTGTCCAATTGTTCATGAGATATTTTTCTGCCAGGCGAACAGTTGATCCTCAAGTTTAACACAAGAATCTTGTGCACTGAGTAGAACATGTGTTGTGTATGACTCGTCACTACAAACAAACCAAATCTCACCATAATCTGTGTAGTTTAGACTGTAGTGGCCATTTTGTTTGGGTTGGTTCCGTACATTCAATGATTATTCTCTAAGTCCCTTCCATTGGATTCTATAAATCCCGACACACCACAGTACAGCTGTTCTGTGCTGTCATTTTCTCTAAATGTTTTTTTTTGGCTCTCTGACATAGTCAAAGGTTGTTCGAGAAATAATCAGTGTCAGTCTGAACTGATGCAGGGTGTGTTGAACAGGTGTGTGTTTACCTGCTGGCGTCTTTGCTGGGAATAATCTGGATACATTCTCTCCTCAGGAAGGTTCTCTCGATCCACGCTCTGTGAAGCTGAAAGATGAAACATCAGCAAGAGTCAGAGCTGCAGCTTCTAATCCAGATAACTACAACCTGAGTTTGGACACAAAGTCTATTTCTAACAGGATTAATTAGCTAAAAGGATTAAGATCAAGGTTCATGCAAACACTAGTGTAGAAATCTATCTATACTATATCTATATCTATCCGTTTATTAAATCACTTTTACACAGAGTTCTATGTTTTTTTTAAAGCACAAATGGCAGCAGCAGCGGTTAGCTGTAACACTTCTTTGTAGCCAGGGGAACATATTGTATAATCTTTTGTGGCCTACATGCATTATGCCATTCCGGTCATGCATTTATAGTAAATGGACTGTACTTATATAGCGCCTTTCTATCTGATCAAGATACTCAATGCGCTTTGCACTACAATCTCTGTCCTCATTTACCCATTCATTCATGCTTGAGAGGGAGGTTTATATTTCTTCTGGTCAACAGTTTGTTGAAAAGTTGTTTTTATCAGTGGGAATATGTTTAAAACATGTTAGTTAATACCATTTTTATGCTCAACAGCTGTAATAATTAATTGAAAATAGTGAATAAAAGGACAGCACGGTGGCGCAACTGGTAGAGCTGCTGCCTCTCAGCGAGCAGGTCCCTGGTTCAAACCCCGGTCCAGGGGCCTCTCTGGGTAGAGTTTGCATGTTCTCTCCATGCATGCGTGGGTTTTCTCCGGGTACTCCGGTTTCCTCCCACAGACTAAAAACATGCATGTTAGGCTGATTGGTGGCGGCAGTGCGGGAGGATATCGCCGTTGGATCTTTGTTCCTGTGAGGACCGATCTGCTGCCGTGGTTCTTGGAGCGTCTGGAACTGCGGGATCTGGTCTCCAAGAGTCCGACTTACGGCGTCTGCTGGTCTGTGGTGGTGGAGGGCGGCTCTGGGCTAACAAATTGTCGGACAGCTGCCATCGGGCAGGTGGAAGTGAGTAAATTATGGCCAAATCCAAAGTAAAAAAACATGATTTCCTGGAACCAAGCTCAGACGATATTGAGGAGATAAAAAAATCCTTGAACTTCATGAGTGCTGAACTCGCAAATTTAACATCCCAGCAGAAACTTCTGATTGGGTTGTTTGAGGAAGTGAAACAATTAAAACTACAAATAAATCTCAAGGATAAAAAAATAATGGAACTTGAAGAAAAATTAGATGACTTGGAACAGATTTCAAGACAAGACAATCTTCTTATAACTGGATTAGAGATAAAACGTACATATGCAAGCACTACTTCTGGGAAGGAAACTACTGAAGATTCATCTCCACAGGAGCAACTAACATTAGAAGAGCGGGTGATCTCCTTTTTGCAAGATAAGAAGATCGACATACATCATGAAGACATCTCTTTGTGTCACACCCTGCCCAGCAAAATTGATAAGTCTAAACCGGTTATTGTTTTGAAATTCATTAGCAGGAAATTAAGAAATAAGGTAATAATGCAGGCAAAAAAACTCAAGGGAACAAAAGTGTATATAAATGAACATTTAACAAAAAGAAATGGAAATCTGGCACGTGAAGCACGGTTATTAAAAAAACAAAACAAAGTATTTTCTACATGGACAAGAAATGGAAAAGTATGGATAAAAGTTCAAGATGGATCGCAAGCAAAAATAATAAAAGACATGAAGGATCTTGACAAACTCAGATAAATCTAGATGACAAATAAACATAGATAATGAGATATATTAAACACAAAATTCATAAAAAAAAGTCTGATGAATAAATACACTGAATTACAATGACGTATGATGAATCAGAATTCAATGTTGAAGATGAGATTGACAGAAATGTTTTTCCATTTAGAAATGAAAGTATATATTATAATGATGATCAGTTTAATGATATAAACACAACTAACGAAGATCTTTCTATTGTGCATTTAAATTGTAGAAGCTTAAATGTAAACATATCAAACATTTCAGATTATTTAAAAGGATTAAATAAGACTTTCAAAATAATAACATTATCTGAGACATGGTTAAATGAAGGAAATATAAATAATGCTTTTATTGAAGGGTATGAATTACATCATATGAACAGAAAAAACAAAAGAGGTGGAGGTGTGGCTATATTTATAAACCATGAAATAAAATGCAAATTGATTAGCGAAATGTCAATAATTGTGGAAAATATGTTGGAAATGATAACAATAGAAATAATAAAAAATAATGGAAAGAACATCATAATAAGTTGTGTATATCGATCTCCATCCTCAAATATTGAGTTATTCACTGATAAAATATTGGAGTTGCTAGAAAAGAGAAGAAATAAAAAAGTTTTTTTATGTGGAGATTTCAATATTGACTTGGGAAACATCACTGATTCAAAAAACATAAGTACATTCATAAATTCAATGTATAGTTTAAATTTTTGTCCGTTAATATCAAATCCTACAAGAATCACAAATCAAAGTGCTACAATAATTGATAATATTTTTACAAATGTGACAGAGGGTGATGTGCTGAGTGGTATTTTGAAGGCAGATCTCAGTGATCATTTACCAGTTTTCACTATTTATAAGAATGATGATGATATAGTTAAAACAATTATAAGAAAGAACAAAATAATAAACACTTCAAAAAAAGCATTGAACAAATTAAAAGATGAGTTGGATAAACAAAAATGGGATGATGTATATGTAGATGATGTGAACAAATCATATGATGAATTTATGACGATTCTAGAGGTCTTGTACAAAAAAAATTGTATGCTAAAAAATGATGTACAGAAAGATACAGTGGATCAACCATGGATGACAAAAGGATTGAGAAATGCTTGTAAAAAAAAAGAATCATCTGTATTCGTGTTTCTTGAAATTGAAAACTCAAAAGGCTGAAGAAAAATATAAAAAGTACAAAAACAAATTAGTTGGGATCGTAAGGAAACACAAGAGGGAATACTATAGTAAATCACTACATGAATGTAGTGGTGATATGCGTACAACTTGGAGAGTAATAAATAATGATTTGAAAACACATAAAATGAGAACGAGACTTTCACAAAATTTTGTAGAGAATGATGTGGAAATCCATGACGATGATGAAATTGTTAATGGATTTAATAATTATTTTGTTAATGTTGGGTCTAGCCTTGCAGCTATGATTCCTAATGTGGAAAAAAATGTAAGTTATTTAAGTAATGGTTGCGTTAACAGTATGTTTTTGGGTAGAACAGATGAGGAGGAAATAGTGAAGGTTGTCAATAGACTTGCTAACAAAAGATCAAATGATTGTGAAGATATGGATATGGTGGTGGTAAAGGAAATAATAAGTCATGTCATTGAACCATTTACGTATATTTGTAATCTATCATTCTCAAAAGGTATATTCCCAGACAGAATGAAAATAGCTAAAGTAGTTCCTCTTTTTAAAAATGGTGACAAACGTGTATTTAGTAATTATAGGCCTATATCCTTATTGCCACAATTCTCTAAAATTCTCAAAAAATTGTTTATGACCAGATTAGATACATTTCTTGAAAAAAATAATATTTTAAGTAATAGTCAATATGGTTTTAGATCAAATTGTTCAACATCCTTAGCTCTTATGGAGTTGATTGAACAAATTATTACAGCAATTGATAAAAAACAACATTGTATAAGTATATTCGTGGATTTAAAAAAGGCATTTGACACTATTGATCACACCATTCTGCTTGATAAATTAAATCAGTATGGTGTTAGAGATCTTGCTTTACAGTGGATAAGCAGTTATTTGAGGGATAGAAAGCAGTTTGTTCAGATGGATGATGTAAGATCTAGTTTATGCAGAACTTTATGTGGAGTACCACAAGGTTCAGTACTTGGACCTAAATTGTTTATTTTATATGTAAATGATTTAATTGAAGTATCTGACATCCTCAAATGTGTTTTATTTGCTGACGATACAACGTTTTTCTGTTTGGGTAAAAATATGGAACAGATGTTTGAGTTGATAAACAAAGAGATTGTTAAAATACAAGATTGGTTTAAATTAAACAAGTTATCATTAAATGTTGATAAAACTAATTTTATGATAGTTAGTAAAAAAAAAAAGATAACTTTGGTGTCATGAACTAGAGGCCGGATCGCAAACAACAACAACACCCACTGAGAGGGTTAAAAGATTTATTGTGAAATAAAGTAAAACTCTGGAGTAGGTCCGGTTCTGGGCTGGTTCCGATCTTCTGATTGGTAGTTCGAGATTGGGTAGTGTTGTAGTGGCGGGGTGCCAGTAGAAGTAGAACTGATGTAAAGGTCCACTGGAACGGAGTCCAACAGGCTTGCAACTAAAAGATAAAGGTTAGTAGATGCAGGGGGAAAGAGACTAATTGGGGAAATGAATCTGTGGGAATCAGATTCAGGGGTAAGGATAAGTCCGTGATACAGAATGAGCTTGACCTTTAATCCGTGATCCAAAAAACAGTCAGAGGGGAAAGGCAGAGTTCATACCGTGAAGTCAGTTGTTCAGCAGAAGTATCCAGTACGTGATCCAAAAAGAGAGTCAAAAAACAAGAGCATGAGTCGGTACCTGATCAGATGAGCAAAAGCAGACGAGGGCTGAGGCAAAAGCGTGGTCGTGGTCAAGGCAAGGGTCATGAACGTGATGAGTCAATCAATGGAATGCTGGAAAGTCTACTGCTGATGAGACAGGATAGAGAATCTGGCCCAGACTGAGAGGAATGAGTGAGCTTAAGTACTGACTGGACCAGGTGGTGGAGCTGTGGGATAATGAGCGGTGACAGGTGACATGAGTTGAGTGATTACTGAGTGTGCAGCATGACAGAGGAGCTGACAGAGAGCAGAGCTATGACAGAACCCCCCCCTCAAGGTCCGGCTCCTGAAGGACCACCAGGCTGGAGAGGGTTCAGTCGATGAAAGTCTCTAATGAGGGTTTTGTCCAGAATATTGCGTGAGGGCACCCAGGAACGTTCCTCCAGGCCGTACCCCTGCCAGTCTACCAGATACTGGAGTCCTCTCCCCCACCTTCTGGAACGAAGAAGGCGTCGGACCGTGTAGGCTGGGCTCCCCTGAATGAGTCGGGCGGGTGGTGGGAGGTCGGTGGTGGGTCGAAAACGTGGCAGGACAAATGGCTTGAGTCTTGAGACATGAAACGTTGGATGAATGCGCATGGACCTGGGTAACTGTAAGCGAACAGAGACAGGATTGATTATTTTGGTAATCAGAAAAGGACCAATGAAACGTGGTGCTAGTTTCTTAGATTCCACACGGAGAGGAAGGTCCTTGGTGGAGAGCCACGCTTTCTGGCCCACCTTGTACAATGGTTGAGGCGTTCTCCTGCGGTTAGCCCCCCGAACGTACCTTTTGGTGGCCAAAATTAGGGCTCTCCTGGCTTTTCTCCAGACTCGCTGGCAACGTAAAATTGCGAGTCGTGCAGAGGGAACCCGAGCTTCTCTCCCCTGGACTG